AGCTAAGGAGGTAAGAGGGACAGACAACAAAGGCAGTCTCAGCAGGTTCTAGCCAGCTTACCTGATGAGCATGTAGAAGGCACTGTTTCCCTTTTCCTTAATATATATATATATATTCCTGTAAATAATGCATCTAATTGTAACAGACTGAATTGTGGGTAAGGATGGCTTCTACAAAAGCTTCCACCTAGTCCAGGAAGGAAACTACCCCAGACATCCCTAGGGATGCACAAAGGGGAAGGACAGAAGACCAAGACTTACAAATCTAAATACAAGAGGAACCCTTGCTGCTGTAGTTCAGACCCTGTCTTTGCTTACTTGCCTGCTACAAATAAACTTGCCTGCTTCCTCCACCTATGCCCCAGTGTGACTACTCTCTCAAGAGCACAAGAACCAAGACCACTGTGGGATGAAAGGAAGTGAGGAAGGAGGAATCTCCCCATAGCACTGACTCTAGATCACAGTTGTGGGACTGGACGCAGCAGCTCCTGGTCTAGTTGGGATATGACTCCATTTCCCATCTCTTCTGATGACTTTGAGAGTTCCAAGTGTTACGGGAATTAACCACACACTAACCTGGCCCATTGAGAAGACTCAAACCATACCCAGGATGTAGAGGAAGTTAATGCTTATTATGCACAGGCCTCAGACTGGGTAAAACCTGCTCCAAAGACACTGAGGCACTGATCGGAAATACATACAGGTTTTTGTAGGATTTTTTTCACATCATCCCTTGGCAGTAATCGTATTGGATTTGAGACTTCCAGCACGGAAGTAGACGTGTCCCTTAGGTTATTATAAGAAGTTTAAACAGTGTTTTATAAAGAAGCAGATATTTTGGGCAAATTTGGGGTAACTTCCCAATAATTTGCTGATGCCAATATAATCGTAGCTATTTTAACAAAGACACATGGTAGTGATACAGGGGAGAAACAATGTCCTCTAGAGGAGACATAAAAGAATTTAAGAATGGACTCCAATGGAGCTTTAGGACAATTTTATTAGAATTTAAAGAAAAATCCTCAGAGAAGGTTAGCTGGGAATCTCAGCAGCTGCCTTGAGGAAAAGAATGGATAGGAGACAGAAAAAAAGCCATGAAGCCATGCTGGTTTAGAGCATGCATGGAGGTCAGACGTGTGGTAGACTAGCAGCCACATGATGGGGAGAAGGAAGTGTTAGAGGAAAAGAAAAGAAATACAAGATGCTGGGGCAGCTCAAAGTACGAAAGAACACCTGCTTAGAAAAGGGATATGAAGAAGGAAAGGAGAGATTATGCTTTTCTGAAGAATTCAGAAAAGTGGGCAGGACTTACAGAGACCTCATGTCTGCAACCAGGTCCACAAGAACTGCACTAGGAGGCAGAATTCCAGGCAAGAAAAGTTCACATCTCATTAACCCACTAGGTATTCTGCCCATCTATTTAGCATGACTTAAGGAGAACCTGCCTTCCTAGGGGTGACCAGGTGACTGACCAGTGAAACTGGAAAGGTGGGTCTTCCCATAGCTAGACTAGAGATTTTATTGTTTGATCAATTAATCTTATGGGGCTTTTTTGCTTTAATAGCAGAGGCTTCCTGAAAGTCCACCACAAGAGGCGGCACTTTCTAAGTTGTTCATAGACTGCAGTTTTTGTGGTTGTCTGCTTTGTCTTATCTCAACTTGAGACTGAGCCCAGAGTGGCTTTTAGGATTTGAGCACAAACAGAAGCTTCTAAAGTCCTGTTACTTCCACATATATCAACAAACACATTTATTATCAGGTGTATATAAGGTTCTTGTCAAATACATTTGTTAGCATTTACTCATTTACCACACAGAATAAAGTTATACTAAGGTCATAGTTCATTAGTTTCACATTAAGTTGATTCTCCTCATCATAAGCACTAAATAAATTCCTGCTCTATCTCCTGTATGGACATATCTCCTGCTGTTGAATATTGGACAGGCAACAGAGATGAATATCCTGTTGTAGCTGTGGGGTGGAGGCTGTCAGACTGGCCCACCGATGGCCTGTGTTCCTTATCTGGAGTTCACATCCTAAATGTGCCTTGTCCCAGATTGGTTTGCAACCTGAATTGGATTTCTGCTTTGTTAATCTGTTTTCTCTGGGAACCGCATCATCAAAAATCCCGTTTCTTGTGAAGTCCTTAGTTACATTTGGCCAAAACTGAAATTCTGCAAAATCTTAGACATAGAAGCAAAGCAGTAATTCTGACAGCTGTTACTGAGCCACGGCATGAGACAGAGCTGGATGTGGCGGTGAGGGACAGGGGCATGGGGACTGCCGGCACATCCTGTCTGCCCTACCTCCTGGCTCTTGTTATAATGGCAGGAAGCCCCTTAAGAGAAAACTGTTTGAGAGAATAAGAATCTCTGACCTGACTGGAACCTTAACTTTCTGTTTTTCCAGGCCAATCGCCTGGTCAGGACCACCCCCGAGAAAGGCAGGTTGACCTTAAGTCATGCTAAAGAGATGGGTGGAATACCTAGTAAGTCAATGAGATGCTGAACTTTTCTGTACAGAACCCCCACCCCTAGTGGAGTACTTAGGGGCCTGGTTACAGACATGAGGTTTCTGTAAGTCTGCCCACTTTTCTGAATTCTTCAGAAGTGTAGCCTCTCGTTTTCTTCTCTGTCTCATTTCTAACCGTGCTTTCCCTAATGTAGTGGACTGCCCAAACATTTTGGGTTTCTTTACTTTTTCTCTAAAGATCCCTTCCCCTCCCTACCATTCGGCTGCTAATTCACCATGT